GACAGATCTCTCCACATCTAGTATGCCTGGTCTGCATACTAGATTCCAGGACAGCCAGGGCTACATAGAGAGTCCCTGTCTCAAAATAATCAAACGACAAAAAGACAAAGCAGGGAATTAACTGGTTTCTAATTGAAAAGTCTTTTGTCATTGTCAGGGAAACCCAAGAGAGCACCATGTGCCGGTGTCAACCACCATTAGAGGACAGACTACAAACTGTCTTAACTCAGTGACCCCACTGCTAACCAAGACTGTGGGGGTCTCTGAACCCAAGGTGGCATATAGTCCCGTTCTAAGCAGTAATTTACACTGAAAGCCCCGTGCACTGAGTCATCTCCAGATTGAATAGTGATTCTGACAGCCTCCTGCAGTTGTTTGTAGGAGACAAACCTTACTAAGCCTCACCTCACTAAGAAACTCAATGAAACTCTATGCATTTGAGTTTGAATTCTTACTTCCCACCTCTAAGAGTTTCTGAAACAAGGATGCATCATACATTTAATGTGTTCAGTCTGGTGGACAGCTGCCTGCGAGCTCAAGGCTCCTGATTTACAAGGTGAGGTCCAGGACAGCCAGGGCTACACAGTGAGACCTGTGCAACAAACAAACACAACAGGTACAAACAGCTGTAAGTTAAAAGAAACTACTGCTATCTTAAATTCAGAACCCTGGACTGCATAGTGTCCCAGAAGGTGACTCTGCTACAACAGGGGAGATGGGGTTGTTTTTTAAATTACACCATGGGGGGGGGGGGCGTGAGCATGCTTTCAATCTCAGCACTTGGGAGGCAGCGGTAGATTCATCTCTGTGAGCAGTCTGGTCTAAACAGTGAGTTCCAGGAAAACTAGCAGTTTCAAACAGGGATTGAAGGTGTATACCACCAACACCTGGCAAGTGATTTCTTTAACTTTAAATATACTTCATTTTTGAGACTGTAATGTAATTACATCCTTTCCTCCCTCCAAGCCCTCCCTTTTCTATCTGAAGAATGCAGCCATTTCACACACTGCCTTTGCCTTAGCAGATCTGGCCAGCCCTAACCACCTAGCAACCTCACACCTGCAGACGGGCTTCCTTGAAATGTCTCTTCTAAAACACTTCCAGACAGTACACATCAGTTTATGGCGTTTTCTACCAAAAACAAAACTTTGTGCTATCAACTCAGGAGTTGCTCATACATGATACCGAACAATGAGCATCTAAGAGGGAAGCTGTCTAAAGAATATTAAAGAGAATTTTTTTTAGAGCCTCAACAGACAGACAGAGGTTAAGAGCACTGGCTGCTTTTACAGAGGACCTGGGTTCGGTCCCCAGCACCACACAGATCTGATGTCCTCTTCTGGCCTCTCCAAGTACCAGGCACACACACGTGCAGGCAAAACATTCACATACATAAAAAAAAATAAATTGGGGGTGTGTACAGAGGAGCACACCAAGATAAGGGAGGCTAGATTGCTGTGAGTTTAGGGCTAGTCTGGTCTATATTAGTGAGTTCCAGAACAGCCAAGGATACACACTGAGACCCTGCTTCAAAAACCAACCAAACCAAAAAGAATGCTTGTATTCTTTTTTTCCCTCAAAACAAAATGATTATATGTATGTAGTGTGTGTGTGGTACATACATGCCACAGTAGTTCAGCATGCATGTGTGGGTCAAAGGGCCACTTACAATAGCTGGCTCCTTCCTCCCATATGTGGGTTCTCGGTATAAAAATCAGCTCCTGGGGGCTGGAGAGATGGCTCAGAGGTTAAGAGCACTGACTGCTCTCCAGAGGTCCTGAGTTCAATTCCCAGCAACCACATGGTGGCTCACAACCATCTGTTATGAGATCTGGGGCCCTCTTCTGGTGTGCAGAAATACACGAAAGCAGAATGTTGTATACATAATAAAAAAAATCTTCTAAAAAAAATCAGCTCCTAGCTAGCGTTGGTGGCACATGCCTTTAATCCCAGCACCTGGGAGGCAGAGGCAGGCGGATCTCTGTGAGTTTGAGGCCACCCTGGTCCCCAGAGCAAGTGCCAGGATAGGCTCCAAAGATAGAGAGACCCTGTCTCAAAAAACCAAAAAAAAAAAAAAAAATCAGCTCCTGGGCTGTAAGCAATTGCCCCATTGAGCCATTCCACTGGCTCAAAACAGAACAATGTTTAAAAGGAGGGTTGACAAGTGAAAAGGAGCCTAGGGTGGGAGTCCACACATTAACCCAACACTAGGATGGTGGCCCACACATAATTCCAGCACTCAGCAGGAAAATGGAAGAATTCCAAACTATCCTGGGCTACACAGTGAGAAAAGGGGCAAAAGAGCCAGAAGAGGTGCGAGGGAGAACAGCAGGTGACTGGAGACTGGAGATTCAGACAGCTTTGTGGATGAAGGTTTCTTTAAAACCATGACCACCTAAAATACCTGGGAAAGAACAGTCTCACATTAAATGACTAATTGAGATGTGGTACCGAACACAAGAAGAGAAAGTGTGGTAGTAGCTCACAAACCAGTACATAAACTCAGGGTGGGCCTGAGAGTCAGTCTGGTTCATTTTCCTTTGCTGATGAGCTGAGATATGAACAAGATGGTACCCAAAGCACCAGCACCACAGACAGAATGGCCCAGCTGCCATGACCAACTGGCACCCTCTGAAACAGCAAAGAAAATGCTATTGTCAGAGCACCATGACAAATGAGTAACAAGACCACTTACATCATTTTGTTCTCATCTAAGAACAGCGATGTCCACTTTAAACTTCACTAAAGGTGCAGCACGTGCAAGCAAAAACAAGACAAAACAAAGCCCAGCATATAGTGGACGGACACAGTGACACTCTGCAGTAACTGGAAGGTGTAAGTAGAAGGATCGCTACAAGCCAAGGCAAGACTGGGCTACATGGAGAAATCCTATTGCAAAACAAAATTTAAAAAGAAAGAAAGTAAAGGCTTTACCGAGAAAGATATGGGGCACATATCTATAATCCTAGTGTTTGGCAGTCTGAGGCAGGAAGATCCTTTGAGTTCAATGCTAGAAATGGATAGATGGCTCAGTGATTAAGAGTGTGTGTTGTTCTTACAGAGGATTTGGGTTCAATTCCCAGAACCTACACTGAAGCTCACAACCATCTGTAACTCCAGTCCCAAGGGATCTGACCCTCTTTCTAACTTCCAAGGGCTCTTGCAAGCACATGGTCGCTGTCTCTGTCTCTCTCTGTCTGTCTCTGTCTCTGTCTCTGTCTCTCTCTCTCTCTCTCTCTCTCTCTCTCTCACACACACACACACACACACAAAATTAAATACCTTTTTTAGAAAGAGTTTAGTGGCAGCCTGTGTTATATGCAGAGTTATAGTAGCCTGATTAAAAGGGACAGGGTTTGGGGAAGAGCTGAGGATAAAGTTCATTGATAGAGTGCTTGTCTAGCAATATGAGAGGCCCTGGGTTTTATCTATAACACAGGGAAGAGAAGGAGAAATGGAAAGACAAAATTGGCAGGGGTGGTGCCACATGCTTGTCATCAGAACACTTGGGAGCTGGAGGCAGAAGGCTCAGGTCATTGGTCACTCTTACCTAGAGATCTCAGAATAGCCTGGGCAAACCATACTCTGTCTCAAAGGGTGTTGGTGCTAAAGTGATGGCTCACTACCATCTCTAACTCCAGTTCCTGGGATCCAGTGCCCTCTTCTGGTCTCCAAAGGCACTACATGTTGGTGGTGTACAGACAAGACATTCAGGGGAAACACTCATGCACAGGAAATGAAAATAAATTAAAAGGGAGGTGCTGGGGAGGGACAACAGGAAAGTAGGAAGGGGCAGGGAATGGTGGGCAGTGTGGTTGTGGTCTTGAACAGGAATCTGGTGGAAAGAGACTTCAAACAACAACACAAGTGAGGACACAGAAAACAAACAACAGTGGGCCATCTTCAGGCTTTGCCAGTGGGGAGCCGGCCAGGCTGTCAGGGGAGGTGCTTTCAGCTTCTGCCAAGGCATCTAGCTGCATTACAGGAGGCACAGGCAGAGAGAGCCATGATGGCACATAAGCACTATAAAACATTCCTTCTACTATTATGTCTTTCAGACTGTAAGACATCTCAAGTTTCCATGGACTGACCATGAGAACATTCCTTCCAGGATGAGTGACCAAAGGTCCCACTCACTCCCAGACAAGTCAACCACTCCGAGAGCAGTGTAATTAAGAAAGGTGGAGAAGACAAATGACCAACCCAGGGTTTTGGCCTAATTAATTACCATAGGAGGTCACTGAGGGGAATGTCCAGGTGTTCTGCCCATAATTGGTTAAAACAAAGACCCAAATATCTGAGAACAGGACCTGGTCATAGAGGAACGCGTGCGCCCTGTGAGACAAGCGGGGTAGCTGAGGCCGCATGGTGGGTGAGGTCAGCAGGCCCAAACTCAGCTCACAAGGCAGTAATTCAGGGTAAAGATGCAACTGAGCAGAGGAGAAACACAACAGGAAGACACTACCTTTCAAGAAACATGTGCAGTGCAGTACCTAAGGATGATAAGGCCGGCTAGCGTGAAGAAGACTGTAACAGCTACCCAATTTGGCAACTGGGTAGTTGCTAAAAACCACTCACTGCAGAGCGCAGAGGGTAAAGCATGGCCTGGGTTGGAGTGACTGTTTAAAAAGGGAAGCAATAAAGGGAGCGCTGAGGCGCTAGCAGCAGGACAAACCCCCACCATGCTTTGTGCACTCTTTGATCTACATGACTTACAGACACAAATCTGTATGTCTAGGGGAGGTCACAAGGCCTGTGGCCAGTTCTCTGAGGCACTACAGGATGACACAGTAAAGTCTGCATCCCCAGTAAACAATTATTTACAATGCTAGTGTATCTCTCACACTCCACTGAAGTTTAAATTTCTGGGGTAAAGGAAGTGTCGTTAGCTGCAAGGCTAACAAGAGGCCACAATGCTGCTGTTACACACTCATTAGCTGTGATGCTTGCCAGGTGCTGCGCTAACTCCTCTGCCCTGGCCTGCATGAGGACATACTCACCTCCATAGTAGAGTCCTGTAGCAGTGCACATCCGCCACTGTCCCTGATACATCCCTGCTCTGCTGGGGCTGCACATCTGGACGCTGACATCTGCAATCTCTTGGGGCTCTAGCGATCTCACCATCACCATGTTCACATGTCCAAACTGGTCTCCCCCGACATACTTAAGACAAACCCCTGGAGGCCAGGCCTCTGCCCCTGAGTTCAAGCAAAAGAAAAAAATGTTAGGAAATCAGTCGTCCTGTGCTGGAGTTTCTTGTTGAACTGAGGAAGTGGCCTCTTTCCAGACACATATCCCTGAGCAACAACAATGTCTCTTACCACTCAGCAAAGGGAACTCTGAGGGTGGGGGAAACAGGTCAGTGGGTAAAAGCACTTACTACAAAGCCTGGTGAACTCAGTGTGACCCAAAACTCACATAATGGAAGGAGAAAACCAACCCCCTCAAGTTGTCCTTTGAAATCCACACATGTACATGTGCACACACAGTGTTTCTCAACCTGGAGGTTGCCTAAGACCACCAGAAATATCAGATGTTTACATTACAATTCACGCCATATCAACATTAGTTATAAAGTGGCAATGTAGCAATGAAAATAATTTTATGGTTGAAGTCACCACAACATGAGGAACTGTATTAAAGGTCTCAGCATCAGGAAGGTTGAGGACCACTGTCCTAGAGATCTGTTTACTATTGTTTTGTTATCTCATAAATGAATAGGTCTTCCTAGAACAAAAGGATGACTCATGTGCTGTATGACTTTGGAAATTAAGTTCCATATATGATTAAGGCAGTAATACTCTCTTATCACAGACCACCGCTTTATTAAAAAACAAACCCACCACCCTGTTGTGAACCAATAATAGCATCAAAAAAGTCAAAGGAAAGTCATTTAGGAGTTCCAAAAAGCCTGGGCATGATCATAGATCTGCGGCTACCCAAATCTGGAGATGTAAGGAACAAACCCCATGGAGGCCTCCCCAATAACGCTGCTGTGTGGAGGGAGGCTGCTCCATGGGGACAGTCGAAGTTCCTTCCACACCTAACAAGGCAACTACAAAATGCTCAACTGTGATAAGTGAGCTCAGGGAAATACCCTGTCTGTAACCAGCCTGGAAAGAAGAGATAAAGTTGCCTATTTTAATGATCTGAAGAAGAAAATAGAGTGCACACAGGACAACCTTGCAATCCCAGTTACATGGTGACACTTTGTCTCAGGAGGGAGCAGTTCTTTTTCAACTTCCTTTGCAAAGACTAGTTTCATTTTCATTTCTATGAAGCACAAAACTGTGAGCATGCTCAAGCCACTCTCATGTGACAACCAACAGCTGTCACACCCAAGAGAAACTGTTGGCAAGTGTAGTTTAGCCCACCTTGGAAAAACTAAGGAGCTGTAAATAGGCTGGGTGATGGTGGCGCATGCCTTTAATCCCAGCACTAGGGAGGCAGAGACAGAGGCAGAGGCAGAGGCAGAGGCAGAGGCAGAGGCAGAGGCAGAGGCAGAGGCAGAGGCAGGTGGATCTCTGTGAGTTTGAGACCAGCCAGGTCTACAAGAGCTAGTTCCAAGACAGGCTCCACAGCCACAGAGAACCCCACCCCCCCCCAAAAAAAAGCTGTAAGTTGATGAAAAATAAAATTCTGTCTATTTACTCTCTCTCTGTGTGTGTGTGTGTGTGTGTGTGTGTGTGTGTGTGTGTGTAGTGTTGTAGACTGGCCCCGGGACTTGTGCATTCAATGTGAATTCTACCAGCCAAGTTACATGGACATCCGGTCCTACTTACATCTTTACAGAGAATATTTCTAATTTAAACACTAAACTCTGTATTTGCTGTAAGGCTTCCAAAGCTACTGTAACAAAAACAAACAAAAAAAGTGCCAACCCTACAAGTATGCATCTACACAGCTAAATATCATGACAGTCAAACTCTGGGGAAGTTGCTAGGACAGTTACATGCAGTTATTACATTATTACATTACAGTTATTCATTTGTTGTGCTAGAGTCTAGTACCTAAGACAAGAGGTATCAACTGCTATGCATTGAACTCTCTCAGTGAACCCTTTCCTCAAAAAGTAGGCTATGAATGAGTCAAGAGACCAGAAATGGCAGGTGCCTACCCTAATTTCTACTGTGATATTCTACTTCCTGAAGACACCAGCAGGACTGGGACAATGCTGAGGAACCAGCACATCCATGTCCTCTAATAAGTCACTCCTACTCAGTGCCCTAATCCAAAGGAAAGCATTCAGGCTGTGGGTACAAAGCTACAGTGCTCTGGCTTGAACAACTTTCAAAGAATGGAAAGCTTTCTGTGCACAGTACCTTGAAGGATAAAATCTCAGGCAATTGCTGTCCAGCTTTTCAAGATACAAGAAGTGCTGGGAGCCAACAGCAGTTGCCCCAGCAGTGAGGTCAAGGTGAAGGCAGCTTTGGTGTTCTAACCTGGTACTCCAACCATCACAAACAGCCTCCCCCACTCCTGATAGACATCAGGCTTTACAGAAAGCAGAATAGCTATTCTATAACAAATCAGGTTTTGGTGCCTTGAGACACAGTCTCTCTGCCTGCCTGCTTGTTTCATTCCCTCCTTCTTTCCCTCCCTCCCTTTCGCTAGCTCAGGCTGGCCTGGTATTAACATCTTCCCACCTTCAGTTTCCCAAGTCCTGGGATTAACACACGCAGCTTCCTGGGTCTCTTAAATATAGCCTTGTAACAGGCTGTGGTAGCCCATGTCTATAACCCAAACTAAGGAGGCTGAGGCAGGAAAATGGCATGCTTAAAGCTAGTCTGACTCTACAGAGTAAAGACCCTGTCTCAAAACAAAAGCCAGAGCCCAAATAACTAGCTGAGCAGGGCTTTATAGTAAGACCTTGTTTCAAAACAAATGGCTAGTGAGATGGCCAAGTGGGATAAAAGGTGCCGGTCCAAAGCCTGAAAACCAAGTTCAATTCCCAGGACCCACACGATGAAAGCAAAAGAGATTCCACATGTGCTGTGGCACTTGTGAACACAAATAAATGAAATAAAAATACTTATTTTTTGATCCCAACACTCAGGAGACAGAGATAGGAGGATCTCTGTGAGTTCTAGGTCAGCCTGGTCTACAGAATGAGTTCCAGGACAGCCAGGGTCACACAGAAAAACCCTCCAAAGGCTAGATGCTAGTATTTTGAGGAGGAGGAAGAGGTTAATATGGCTATGGAGGGAGACAGGGAAAGAGGAGGGAGGGAGAGAGGGAGAGAAGGAGGGAGGAAGGGAGGGAGGGAGGGAGGGAGGGAACCAATAGAAAACCACATGTATGTTTGAAAAACATATTTAGTCTATAATACTGTTTGCATAATTCTGAGAAGAAATATGATGGAGAGGCTGAACTGGAGACATATTTAATGTACTTTAAAGGTTTAAGGTGATCTGGCCTTGGGGTTCTAAAATTCCAGGCTGCCTAATGTCTGTGTTTGACAGTTGAGCCAGACCACCTCGGTACTGGTGAGACGCCAGCAACATCCTTACCGCTGTCTTCACTAGCATTTTAAGCAAGTTCACTCAGGCATGTTTCAAAATATTCCTAGGAAATGTTTTGACACAACGAAGGTGTCCCTGAGAACATCTGCCTAGTGTGTGTGGAGCCCTGGGTTGCACCCTCAGCACCACAAGTAAGTTAGGACACTGAAATCTCAGGTTCCTTTTTGCCATAAGCTAAGTGAACTGCCAATGACCTTAGGCCAACTGGAGAACCAGGTTAAACTTCAGGGTAGCTCATTGTGCTTAGCACTGCCCCTACATAGGACAAAAGGGCAACCACGGGCTCAGATGCCTGTCCTAACACATACACCTCTGCAGAGGAATAGGCAGCAAAACAAGAATGAGAACAAAGGTGAGCCCTCAATATACTTCAAGGGCTCAACTGGAACAAAAGCATGCACCACATCCAAACAGACCCAAAGCTCAGTGGTGTACACGCTTCACCTGCTGCTAACGGCAGCAGACACTGCATGTGATGTGGTTTTTAAACTGCACAATTGTAAATCCTGACAAACCTGTACCACAACAGCCACAATTGTCATGTACTCTAGGAGTTTGTCTCCCTTCAAAATCCATTTCAAATTTCACCAGAATCTAAATGCTTAATAAACTCATGTTTCGGGAAAAAAAACAAAAAACCCAAACACTTCAAGGTGAAAAAAGAAATTAAGCAAAGTAAAAGAACAAACAACACAAAACCAGATAATTAAAGAAAAAACAAAAACCAGAAAATGTGAGCATTTTCCTGTGTCACCACCAGCCTTCAAACAATGCACTACTGAGACAACCAGGGAGAGCGGGCTCACAAAACATCACCTACCTTGGCTGCTCTACTTCAAACAAAACAGGTTAGCTTCCCTATCACCAACTAAATTGCCAACAACTAAAAAAGTAAAAAGTCTGCTGAGGTCCCCTGAGTTTTATGTCAAATTACCATGATAGACAGGGTATTCACACACTACAGTCATAGCTAAATACCACTCTGCCTACCTCTCCATAGCTCAGGTTTTCTCTTCATTGCTAAGCATGTTAAAGCACCTTCAGCCAGGGAGCACAAACCTCCACTAGATGGGAGAGAAATACAAACTCAAAGAAGTTAACAAGCAACAGTTGATACCATAACCAGGTCTACTGTTAAATAACTATGGTCACCTTACGTACGAATGAGTCAAAACAATGTGCTTTCTTAGTCACCTTTAGTGTTAGTTTTTGTCTCACTATGGAGTTCTGGCTGATTTGGATTTCATTGAGTAGCCCATGCTGGCCTCAAATTGTAGTGATCCACTAGCCTCTGCCCCAGGGAGCTGGGATTGCAGCTATATGCCACGGTGCCGAGTTACAGTGTGCTGCACTAAAATGACTTCTGAACTTATTCCCACACTCCGCACCCCATTTGTCAAAGTGGTACAGTGCAGTTTCTGCGGCTGCACAGATGTGAACTCTTCCCACCACCCTGCTTTAGTCAAGGAGGATGGGTATTAATGAGATCAGAAGTGACATCATGGAAAACTTAGGGGGAGACAATACTCTACCACGCACAAGCCTAGTTTCTAGTAGCAAATGAGTATTAGATTGTGTCTGGATGCAGCAACAAACTAAGCCTTCTTCTTATTCTAAGATAGTTCACTGGTGTCTGGTCACTGAGCCAATATACGAAAATATTATATACTATGTATAAGAAAAGGCTCATCCAGGCATTGGGTGGCGCATGCCTTAAATCCCAGCAGTTGGGAGGCAGAGGCAGGTGGATCTCTGTGAGTTAGAGACCAACCTGGTCTACAAGAGCTGGTTCCAGGAAAGGATCAGTCAGAGCATCTTAGCCATTGCCTTCTCTTTCTATTAAAAACAAACAAGCAAATTAAAAAACCAATCAAGATAGAAATTCCCGTTACACACTTACCAGAATTCTGGATCCGCCATGTTTTTATAAACTGAGTATCAGGAGGTATAGATTCCCCTTCTCCTATGGTGACGTCTTCAACGAAGGACATAGAGGGCACACTGATATTTGGGCTTTCAAAGTCATAGTAAGCGCCAATTGCTGCTTGTAAGTTCCTACAAATAAAAAGACAAAAGACTTCAGTTCGATCTCAGGGATATTAAATGAACCGTCAAAGGAAAATCCTTTCTAAGGCTCTCACTACACAAGCCTTCTCGCTGATTACTGCTGAGACCCACAAATTAATGTGTACCTTTCCCTGACAATGCTACACAGAGCATAAAAGCCACTATTGCTGTGGAATATTACTTTAACTAGGCAAAGAAATGTTACATTTGTTTTTGCTGCATATGTTTAACCATGCAAAGATGTGTTGCTTTGCCTGCTTAAGGCACCTGGAAGCAGCAGTGAAAGTGGGACACACAGAAGGAAAGAAAGGTAAAAAACTCAAACGGCAAATGCAGATGAAGAGAAACAGGTTAAATTAAGTTATAAGAGCTAGTGGGACAAGCAAAAGACCCAGCACTCACAGCTAAGTCTCCATGTCATTCATGATTTTGGAGCTGGTAGGTGGCCCCAAAGAAAGCCTGCTACACCTCTACTCATGCATGTCTAAGTACAGGTGTGTGCATGACATGGTGCACACGTGGGGATCAGGGAGACAGTTTTCTCACTCAACCATGTGATTCCTGGGGAATCAGACTCAAGTCATAAAGCTTGGTGGCAAGCGTCCCTACCCACTGAGCCATCTTGGGCAGGTGCTTCCACTTTGTTTTTTTTTTTTTGTTTTTTTTTGTTTTTTTTTTTTTTTTTTGAGACAGGATTTCTCTGTGGCCTTGGAGGCTATCCTGGAACTAGCTCTTGTAGACCAGGCTGGTCTCGAACTCACAGAGATCCACCTGCCTCTGCCTCCCGAGGGCTGGGATTAAAGGCGTGCGCACCAACACCTAGCTGAAGAGACATTTCTTAAACTCTCTACCTCTATACCACCAACGCCGGCATACTTCCACTTTTAAAGTACTCTGTGCATATGCTACAACATCTGCAATGTACAGTGAGAACTAAAGCCTGCTGCCTCTCCCCTCACACCTGTTCACCAGGACAGCATTCTCCAGGAGCATCCAGACCACACCATGCACATACATGTGTGTCCCTACTTCCCACAGCGGGTATCATTATACACTGCCCTTGCTTTATTACCCTCACACTGGGTCTTGAAGATAGTTCTGCAAGGGATGAGTAGTGTGTCATAGCTGTAGTCATTAACCAACTACTACGTGTTTCTAACCTTCAACTTTTCCACAGTGTAAACATGTATCACCTTGTGTATAAGCTTATTATAGAATACATTCCTTTATATCATACTTCTTTGAGGATATTTATGTTTTTACTGTTGGATATAAACTTCCTGCAATAAAAAGATGGAGAACAATGCTTGAACTGCATGTATGACAGCACCTGCTTCCCTGCTGATTGGTGGTCAGTGTTTCTTCACTGTGCTGCATTTCTGCCAATTTTTTATAGCTTACTGACATTTTAAAATTCTATTCTCTTTGCCGGGTGTGGTGGTTCAAGCCTATAAGCATCTGAGAGGATGAGATAAGAGAATTACAGTCTGACGCCAGCCTTAACTAAATAAGGAGATGGTTTTAAAAAAAAAAAAAATTCTTATTAAGAGAAGTGACCAGCTGGGTAGGTGGATCTCCATGAGGCCAGCCTGTTCTACAAAGCTAATTCCAGCCAAGGCTACACAAAGAAACCCTGGCCCAGTTATTTGGAAGTGGGCAACTGGAGGAAAGATGATTTACATCTCGAATGAACAAGTGTTGGACAGCCGAATCAAGTCCCCATGGAGATTGTCTTTTATAACAGACTTCTTCTGGGGAATAGCAGAATTTGTGGTTTTTGTTTTTTTTTTTTCTTCCAAAACTCTGCTTCAGCAAGATGTGAAAAAAAGAAGAGGCTACGGAAGCTCATCTAATTCCAGATACCATGATGGAAGAGGGCCGCCAGGAAACCCTCCACGAAGAATGGGTCCAATCAGTTATCTTCAAGGCCCCAGCCCTCCTCCAATGCCTGGTGGATGAGGAAGGTAAATGTCTGCTCTAAAAAGCAGACAACCAGACATATACATGTGTAGAAGGAAGCCATCAAGAGGACAAGATGGTGTATGTCTAAACTAGGACTGTCCTGTGTCCTCATAGATGAATGTGGTCATGCTGGGAATTCCCTCTACAGGATCTGGCCTGACTGACATGCAGTTCTATAAATGTACATGTTTGTCTCCTTATCTTTTTTGTATAGTTTACTAAAGTTTTAATATAGTTTTAATTAGTAGGTATTTTTAGGTTGCTAAACTTGATTCTTCATCTTCATATGATTAAACTCCAAAGTGAGTGACAGGATAGGCTCCCAAGCTACACAGAGAAACCCCGTCTCGAAAAACCAAAAAAAAAAAAGAAAGAAAGAAAGAAAGAAAGAAAGAAAGAAAGAAAGAAAGAAAGAAAGAAAGAAAGAAAGAAAGAAAGAAAGAAAGAAAGAAATAAGAAAAACCAAAAATAAGTAAATAAATGAGGAATGACCAATTTTTTTTAAATGTGTAAAAGCTACTGGGGTGGAAAGGGTTTTAGAAAAAGGGCTCAGTGGTTAAGAGCACTCTTGCTCTTAGAGAACTGGGGTTCAATTCCCAGCACCCATGTGGCAGCTCATAACCACCTGATTCCCTCTTCTGACCTCCAAGGGCACCAGGCATGCATGTGGTGCACATATGGACATTCAGGCAATCTTAGAATTTTAACAAGAGCTATTTGTGTGCAAGAATGAGGGTGTGAGTCTGGATCCCTAGTATCCTAAGCAAAGCTAGCATGGAAGGCAGAGACAGGAGAATCTCCAGGTTCATGGGTTAGGATGTCTAGCCATCTGGTGAACTCAAGGTGAGAGAGCTTGTCTCGAAAAACAAGCTGGGGAGGCCTGGGTGTCGTGCACACCTTCCCAGTATTTGGGAAGCAGAGGCAGTTAGATCTATGTAAGTTCAAGACCAGTCTGGTCTACATAGCAATTTTCATACCTTCTAGGTAGATAGTGAGACCACATCTAAAAAGCTGGAGAGCGACAGCCGTCCTTCCACCTCTGGCTCCCACACAAACCAGCATGTATATACACTTACCCTCAAAACAAGTGGGGATAGTACACGGGCCTGTAACCCCATCTCAAGACAAAAAAGGAAAAGGAAGAAAGCAGAAGGCTATTTGCGATTTCTTTCTGGGAAGAGCCACCTGGTTAACTACTCATCAGGAACCAAGCACACAATCCAGAGTCTTCCCCAACTAAACAGCATCCCACCAGGACTGGTTCAGTTCTCCAGTGCCAGAAACCAAAGGCCACAAGGCTGTTTAAACAAGCTGTGTCCACGACAGAGATCAAAGGTACTTCTGGAATGATACTAAAGGACTCTTCTGGTCTTCTGTCAGTGAGCTCATCACCAGTTCCCAAGGCAGACAACAGGCTAACCTGTAAGCTTCTCTGCCTAACCCAACTATGAGCTAAGGAGCCAGTGGGCTGCTTGCACCATTTACAAAACAGCAGAAAACAAGCCTGACGGTTCACAACTGCACGGCGGTGTATACTGAGCAGCAGATACTTTCTGGCTGGGGCCTCCATGCCTGCTTCTCCAGGTGTTTGCAGCTGCCAGAAAGGCAGGCTATACTTAGAGCAAGAATCATGTGATGGCGGCGGGTCACACTAATCAGTAAGGACTGGAATTACAACACCAGCTGCATGATGAAATTTACATGGAGCCAAGCTGCACCTGTTCACCCACTGCTGACACAAAGCCTTGGACTTTAGTCTTCCCAACAGCTTCCTTTGTAGATGACAATGATCAAAGCCCACAGACGGCCTCAGAAGCACATGGCAATCAGTCCTGACCTTAAGGACTGAAAATAAAGTGAAAGAAAAATAAGCTTAGTTTGCACTTGCTCAAACATTTTATGTAAGCTGTGTCCATGTCTTTGTAAAGACTGATTTTCTGTCTCACTCTCTTATAAGCAGCCTTCATTGTCTTCTGCTATAAAATCCATTGGGAGGGATAAAGCCTTGCACACTGAGACAACACTCACAGCAGTTGTGTCCTATCTCACCCCTGTGTCATCAGGTCAGGCCTCCCTAACCTGAAGAAGGAACACCAAGGGCAAGTCAGGCAACACTACTTACTAGGCTGACACTCCCCTTCATCAAACCCCTCCCATGCATCCCAATGCAGTCCACAGCCAGAGCCAAGTAAAACTGCTTTGCTCAACCTTACCTGCTTGGACAGGTACTTCAGCCAGGAAAAGACCCTGAACCCTCTTAAAGTTCAAACTTACAATGAAAGTAGTGATCAGGGATGCTGACCAGAGGCTGGAGGGAGGCGACAGAGCAGATCATTTCCCAGAGACAGGCAGAAAGCCAAATGAAGCCAGGAGGCATGGCTGCACACCTCCTCAGGCTTCCAGTCACTTAGACTGGGCCCTGGACAGAGCCAGAGCAAGACCAGATCAAACAGCTCCAGTTCAGTGTGCATTCCCATCTCCAAACAGTACGGGCTGGCGATGGGAAAAGAAGAACACTGGCTACAACAGAGCCTCAATTGCCTGAGTTCTCAGAGCTTCCAGGCAGCAACAGTGTTCAACTGGTCAAAAAAAAAAAAAAAAAAAAAAAAAAAAAAAAAAAAGCACAGGACCAATGGAGAGTGGGGAGGGTCCAACACTGTATAGACCCTTTATTAACCAAAGTGCCTGAGAACTAACCTGAGCCACAGTATGAGACCCTGATCCCAAAACAGCAAAGAGGGTATGGAATGGAAGGTCTGGAAAGATGGCTCACTGGGTAAAGGTGTTGCTGCCAGGGCTGACAACCTGAGTTCTATCACCACGGCACACACAGTGGGGGGAGGGGGCTGACCCCTGAACAAGCTCTCCTTGGCTTCCATGTGTTCATACACATACACACAAGTAAATGCATAAAAGAGAAAAACATAAGAAATACTCTTATTGGGCTGAGTTAACCGTTCAGGGGTAGGGTGCTCAAAATGCATGCAGCCCTGGATTTAAGCCCAGAACTGCAAAATCCAACTATCAAACCACTAATCATAAAGCAG